ATGCATGCACGCGCGTGTGCATGCACACTCGAAAAGGTCGAAGCTCTCGCGTTCGCGTTTCATAATCCTCGTGCTTTAATCGTACCATTGCGGAGGAGTTCGCCGCGCTACCGATATCCACGTACGCCTCTCGACCCGAACGCGAAAACGAACGAACGAACGAACGAACGAACGAACGAACGAACGAACGAACGACCGAACGAACGAAGATAACCCAATTTTCGCGGCTGCCGGTTGCATCGACGCGCTACGCCGCATTAACCCTGTCCTTCTTCCGCGTTTTCTCGTCGGAGTACCGTTCCGGTCTGTGATTCGATAGATCCTTTGCGGACGACTATCGTTAAATATGCGATCATAGACAGTGTCGGCTTAACACTCCGCGAGCGTTTTACGCGTAACGTTTTTTCCGTCAAAGCGAGAACTCTGCACTTCTGTGCAACTTGACTGTATCGGATTACAAAAACCATTGGATATCTATATTTATAATCTACTCGACGCAATGCGATTTTCCTCGAAGTAATTAATTTCAAACGCGTATGCCCTTATCACCGAGAACAAAGGGAGAGTACCTTGGGAAATAACAAACCTTTTGTTCCACAACGTTTCAGCTGCATTTTCGCGTACAGCGAAGCACGCTGACAGAAATTACGCATGAAACCGTGAAGACCTCGGTACAATGAATCCGCGAGTCATGAATATTAAAGCTGTTACAAAAATGGTAGAATATTGTAAAAAGGGTTGCGAATGATCGGCGACCTCGCGTGAAATTACTCCCGTTAATAACAACGTTCGCGACCGCGGTTACGCGTGAACACTTCTCATCCAGTTCATATAAGGAATGCGGCGCGGGATTTATTAACGAAAACCCGTTCTCGACCGGTCGACAGTGCACGAGCGGAACGGCTGCTGGAGAGATAGCCGGGCAGCGAGCATTATCCACTCGTCGCTCGTTGATAAAAAACCGTCGATTGTATTTTCGGCGGGTTTCGAGCTGAACGCGGCGTAATTCTCTAAATCGCGTAGCAGGCCGGCCGCTCGCCGGATTATTATTCGCTTTTATCTGGGAATAATGAGTGGTGCGCGGGAGAA